AAGGCAAAATAAATTTAGTGCAAAGCAAACCTAAGTATGAATTTCAAGTGGAGGAGTATTGTTACTCTTGAACAAGGTATTAAACGGAATTGCTTCAGTAAATATCCTGTTGTTCAAATGGATATGTAACACCATGTGAACCCCCCTGTGTGAGACTATATGCAATGCAAATTAAAAATGAGAGTAAACAATATTATTACTGGTATGAGCAGTTTATGAAAGAGGTAGTCAAAAAGGTCAACATGATGAAGTCTACTTTTCACCTTGAAGATACCCCAGCTCTGTGGGCTATGTGAGGTCTGCCTGATTTGATTGCTTTAGTAACTTACCAGTGATAAGATGTGTCTGTTTTCAATCCGGCCACAGTGAATCATAATACAGTACCTGGACACCTTGCTAGCTTTCTCAATCCTCAGTTTTAATGGAAGGTGATTTTAATGATTCTCTGAGCCTCAAGGTAGATAAACATAGTATAACTTCCCCTTCAGATGTAAAAAATATCTAAGGCACTGTAGGATCTGTGTAATGTAGTACTACCAAATGTAGGGAGGCTAGCAAACCCATGAGACAAAGACTAAACTTTCTTTTCAAACCCTCAATAATTGGTTCACTCTGGGTTACAAAAGATATTTTGAGTAATATTTGGGACTTAAAAGCACAAATAAAAACAACTATCCACTCTGATCATGCTCCAATCACTCACTTTGGAACCATACTCCCACAAGTTAGAAACTTAACAACTTCATACTAATTAACTCAGATTTCATAGAAAAAGGAGTTATAATTATTTATTTCCTTATTCATTTATTTTAGAGATACATAGGTAGTGTCAAATAATTTTCTGTAATCACATTCTTTATGCCACACAACAAAAAAGATACAGGGCCAAAACAAATGAAGGGCTAACCAAGCAACTGTCAGAGAAAGAACAGAAACATTAAGCCTATCGGTAAGAAACACAGACATATTTTGATTTAGGTAAGGCACAAACTGAACTGGATGACCTATTAAAACAAAAACAAAACTTGAGTTTGCAGTAAAACTATGATACTCGAGACAAAGCAGGTACATTGCTACCATTAAGCAGACAAAAAATAACATACAAGCTGATGCAAGCAATATCAACAGCAGATAAAAAAGGCACATTTAATCAATGAATGATTTAAGAAATATTATGTAGGCTTTAATAAAACTGGAAATGATCCAACTGTGACATATTTTACTTTTTGTAATGAAACTTGTCAAATTATTAAAGGAAGAATGCAGAAATCAGTTTACATCAAGTAGTTAGAGCCTTGAAAAAGTGGAAAGTTGCCAGACAAATTTTAAAAACCTTGAAGCTGAGGAGGAATGTCTATTCTCAAAATCAAATATGGACCTCAAAAATAACCTCATTAATGAACAAATGAAAGATGCAATGGAGTATATATTTTAGAGACCAATACAATTATTAAATGTAGACAACAAGATATTCAGCAAAATTTTACCAGAAATGTTGGGTAAGGTTCCACCAGAGCTGATTCATGAAGACCAGAGTGTGTTCCTAAAGGGCAGACAAGTGGTATACAGCATGAGAATGGGTTTACCTGTTTAAGTCATTATCTGAATTTGGACTTGGCACTAATTTTATGGAACATGTTTCTGTACTTTACAATTCTACAAAATCAAACTTTAGCAGGTATGGAATGCTAGATGCCTTCCCATTATATGTAAGAGGTTGACAAGGTTGGCCCCATTCCTCACTAATGTTTGTTCTTTCCTTGGAATCTTCAACTTGTCTTATCAGAGGAGAGGATTAATGGATCCAACGTATTAACCATTATACAATAAGATTTATATACAGATGATATACTGTTAACCGATGGAACTCTGAAGCAATGGCAATAAATGTACTTTACTGAAAGGACACTACAGTATCCTGCATGTTTAAGTGATTGCCAAAAGGACTAAAGTACCTGGGAGAGAGCCTGAGAGGGCAAATCAGAGAAATTGCTCCCTTCAACATGTCTAAGATGATTAAAGAATTAACACAAGATCTGAAGAGGTGGCAAGACCTTCCCCTCTCACTATGGGGCAGAATTGATATAATAAAAATGGATATTCTTCCCCATGTAATGTATCTTCTCAGCCGTCACCACTCATATCCCCTCCACTTCCAAAACGAGTGGTTTTAAAAATAACTATAAGTTTAATAAATTCTTCTGGAAGGAAAATAATTAGCCATCTTTAGTTATTGTTGGATAGCAGTAAGGGGGCTTAGACATTCCAGATGTCCCCAAAAATTACAGATATCCCTTTAGATGGGCCTACAACATGAACGGTGATTTGTTGATATGGGAGGTCATAGAAGAAGACATCTTAGTAATGAATAATCGTAGTTTGTAGTTTAAGAAACCTATAAAGACAGCAAATACAATAAAATTCTTAAGAACTGTAAATCAAAATATGGCCATGTAGTGCAATGTACTTTGGAGAAAGGCCTAAGAGACCATTTCAATTCTGAATTATAGGATAATATTTGGAAAAATATGCATACATTTTCTACTTCAGGTTGGAATAACTGATTCACTTAAAATTTATACATAGAGTATGCCTTACTCCTGGACTCTGATTTATCATAGCTCTCTGTAGCAAAGAAATGGGCTAATTCATTTTGAAGACTCCAAATGTAATCAGATACTGTTGTATGGTAACAAGGACATTGTCTAATATTATTGGAAAGGAGGTACCTATGGACTAAGGAAAGAAGGCTCAGTGGAACAATGAAAAAAAGATTAATATAAATTACTTTTATGAATTCAACATATGTGTTGCTTACGAATTTAAAAAATTTATGGTTTGATATGATTTAAATCCTGGATATGGAAATGTTCAAAAAAAGTCCAACAACATATGTATAAATAGAGAATTATTTATATATAAAGGAATATTAATGCTGGGAATGACATGATGTACTGATTAGAAATATATCTTTTTATACACTGGAGAACTTGAATGGTAAGTATGAGCAATGAATGATGTTTCTTTCATTCTTTCTCTTTTATACTGTTTCTGTACACATTCCAGATGTTTAATCTCTGATTATTGTAATGAGCATTTGTTTTATCTTGTATAATGTGTCTGAAGTATTGAAACGTTGAAGAGTGAGTGTGCGTCTTAAATGATGAAATAAATTCAATTTGTGTTAAATAATGGCCTAGCATGATAATGCTGAACCGCAGTGTATATCTTTAAAGGGGTCCAGTGTTCAAGCTCTGTGTCCAGTCAACAGAGGCTCGCAGCAGATAATGAACGTGCACCTGAAGCCATCTGATGTTTATCATTTCGGACTTGGAGATGACACAGGTGGGTGGATGCTGCAGTGTCAGTTGACAGTGTGTCACGGTGTTGGCAGCTGTGATGGCCAAGATGAGGCTTCGTGAGCCATCCCCTCATGCTACTAGATGATTGGCTGATGTGCACTGATCTGTCACTCTGGGTTTCCATTAGGGTTAAGACTGGTGTGTCACTTGAAGAACCTGTTCAACCAAGATGCTGAGTGTTTCTGGAAGCCCGAGTTGAAAGTCTGTGCATTGCCTTATACAGTAGTACTAATAATAGAATTAAACATTTACAGTGATCAGAGACAGTGGGACAGATGCCTTCATATCCTAATGTTGTTTAAATTCTGTTTTTACAATTCCACATCAAAAAATACAGCAATTGACTTGCAAGAGTCATTTGGACTCACTCCCAACATGAAATGTGATACAAATTTGACTGTAGTGGTGCATAATGGAAAAAAAATGTGAGGTATGAGATTCACCATATTTAAATCTCACACCTTGCTTAATTACTGCAGAACCTAGCATGAAAAATAGTTTTGCAGTGTGCCAGTTGACATGGCACGAAAAAAATGCTTACTGCTGCCAAAAAATGTTAGCTTTTTGAGACTTTGGTTAGTCTTAAGAAGGACAACCAAAGACATTCAGCTAAGAAATGTGGTCCTCTGAAGTCTATACTGTCTTATATTTAGAATGACAGACAGCATTGTGAAGAACCAAGGAGACAAGAAAAAAGTCTCAGATGATGCTTATCACACTGGACAGGTTTGTGATCAAAACTGTTACTGTGTACAGTGTTGTGGCCTTAAAATTCCAAATTATCACAGGAATGTTCAAAATTAGTTAACATCAGTCAAATTGTATCATTTCTGAAATAATTTAGCTGAGGACATTGTCCTACGGCACTGTAGACCACACAACATCAGCAATATGCACACTGACAAGGCAAGATAATAAAGATAGGTCATATTTTTATTTTAATTGTTATGTAATGTATGACAATCTTTTGCAAATAAATATGTTTTAAGAACATTTATTAATGTAAGAAACAAAACATTTTATACTTCTTATATTTTCATTTGAAAGAACCACTTATTAAAATCAAATTACCCTGGATGGATGTGATGCTTATAAGTGGAGAACAATTTAGCTATCCATTTCTTTGGGTATAAGGAAATGTTTTCAGGATTCACCTGGATACTTCATATCTTTCTACATGGTGCATCTTTGCAAAAATACCTTTTGTTAAGCCATGTGTTATTTATATTTCTAAAGTACTTGGAGGAATTAATTGGATGTACTGAATTTTTATAGCTGCATGTTTTTTGCCCCATTAGACAATGCTGGCTTATGCTTAAAATAGAGGCAAACATAATCAGCTCTGAAAAGTAATTAGATATTGTTGTCCTTGAGCCTACATGGAAAGAAATGAAAAAAAGTGTGATGAGCTAAAAAACTAAATATTAAAAGAAGTAAAATATGCAATATCAAATACCAAGTGAAATGTAATCTTTACCTCCATGTGAACAGAGACAAGACACCACTGGATTTTAAAATGAGCATCCAGTTTCCCTGCAGTAACCACTTTTACTAACTGGTTTTGTGATGATTGTCCTGACTGCACTGAAAGATTAACACAGGTATTTAAACTCCACTTTTGTCCTCTCTGTTGCTATTTGCATTGTAGCATAGTGGTAGGGAGTAGGGCTCATAACTGAAAGCTTGCTGGTTCGATTCCCTGCTGGGGCATTGTTGCTGTACCCTTGGGCAAGGTACCTAAGCCAGAATTGCCTCAGTAATATCCAGCTATATACAGGGATAAAACATAAAAATTATAACCTATGTAAGTTGGTCTGGATAAGAACCTCTGCTAAATGCCAATAATGTAACATCATGTAAATATGCACTTCATTTGAAAACATGCAGGCATGTACATACATACAGATGCACACAAATGCAAACACTCCATGTGAATGTTCTCTTGTACAGTCATCCCAGACCCTGTCATCTTTAGTGAACACTGCCTTTTTTGCAATCTCTCACAATCCACTGCTGCTCATACCATACCTATAATGAAAACCTATTCCTGCCCCTCTTCCCAAGCTCCTCATCACTGTAAATCAGTCAGTCAATCAATAAATCAATCAGTCTGTCAATCAATAAAATTTTGCTTGTTTTTACCCTTGGCATTGCAAGAGGGTACATCACAGAGAAAATGCTGGAAAAATGACAAACATCATACAGATGATCAATAGAAATGCATGGTGACTTATTGTGTTAGTTGAGTTTGACATAGGAAAGCCAGAGGCAGTCACAGGCCTTTCAGTGCAGGATGGAGGCTCTTTCTCTGAGAGAGTCTGCTCAATTTGCCAAAGAGTGTTTTCACACCACTAATTGCTTCACCCAGGATGCTGCTGTAAAGATGTGCTCGCACACAGTTTGAAGCTACATTTTGCCTTCAAACTCAGAGGTAGCACCTACTTTGGGCGTGATTTTTATCTTCAAATTATGCTGGTGTACACAATACGAGTAATTTTGATTGCAACCAGTGACAGTGATGTCTGCTTATACATATTTTATGTCATACATGCAGTGCACAAAACTTGCCAAAATATGCTCAGAATCCAGATGGTAAACAGGATGAGTCACTCTGGATGAGTTAGAACAAACAAGGTCCAGCCAGCAATTTTATTTATTTATTTATTGCGTTAGACAATGTATTATGCAGTCCGGTAGGAAGAACTATAAGCTGAAGGTGATTTTTTACATATTTTGCTGCTTTCAACAGTGTACGGAAATATTCAATATGGAATGATTCTTCTGGGTACAACACAAGTAACTGCAAAGCTCAAGTACTTCCCTGATGTAAAATGAGAACAAAAATAATGAGATGTAAGATGAGTCTTCTGCCTGGAAGAAAAGAGAGAAATAACACTGTTGTGATCAGACTGGAAACCTTTTTAAGCATTGGATCAATTTGCTTCATTTCCCCTTCAAAGCAAACCATGGATCTTGCACACACATGCCACAGAGACCAATTGAGGTACCCTTCGAAGCAAACATGCATTCCGTATGTGAACACAACCTTAATCTCAATCTCATCGTGGTTCATTACCTTGGGAATTGTCTTTGTGCATTCAGATTTCCTTTTTTTCTGCTCTCTGCCACATATGCGTCATATTTAGACATCACTGATGATCTGTGCTTGCACATAAATGTAGATGATGAATAACGGTGAACAGTATAAACTGTCTGCCTGGTGGCCTCAGGCACATTTGCAGGTCAATAAAGCAGGGAGGAGCTGAGACGTGACTTTCACTGGATTGGGCCCTGATGTATTCCACACTTCTGCTGCATAACTGGGAAAAATCCATTGGTGGTCTTCTTTGTGGATATATGAAATATAAATGTACCCAAAATTCACACTACAGCAATGTGAAGATATTTGACACAATGTGATTGAGAATTTGCTGTGGGCTGCTAGATGAAACCCCATTTCATTTTGGCCAGCTGACACATAGGAGCCCCCAGAGTGCTGGATTTTTCTTTATAACGTCATATCAAATCTGATCATTTGCTATGAAATGTGTTGTGCCCACATTCACTAAATGTCAAAAACCCTGATAATCCTTGAAAAAAGATTGAGAATCCTTAAAAAAGTAAAATAAAAAGTTCCAAAAAATTGCATTCTTTCACTTTTGGAGCATTTAAATTCATTTAAGAAAGCATATTAAACACCAGTGATGATGAAACGTTCACTTTGATCATTACTGTGAGAAAAATCAGTGAGCTTAACATATAGATCTGGATCTCAACATGTATAGAATAATATTAGTGCATCACTACAGCCTACAATGTCATTTGGGCTCATCCTAGTGACTCAGGTGTTGCAATAGCTGACAATATTATTTTCAGAGGATAATGATGCCCACATATTTAAAACATTACCTGGAGGTGAGACAATCAATTTGCATACACAGGCACCATTGGAGCAGGTGTTGGTAGTTGCTAGGTTGGTAGTTAAGCATGTATTTTTTCTGCTTCTTATATCAGATCATACTAACCACTTAAAATGTGAACAACAGTAAGTAAGGAGTGTAAACACAGTGGGTTGTAATTAATGCATGTTCAACACATCATTTAGGTTTTCGTATTTTAATACGAATCAACACATAGCAGTGGATGGCCCTGGAAAACTGTTCACGCACTCGCAACCCCCACCCTGCCCGCGCACGCAGAATGACAACCGTGATGAAGTGCAGGGTCATTGAGAATGACAGCCTGCATTAGTCTCTGTCAGAGTGCTCCTGGTACATGCCAGTCATACTAATGCTCCAATCAGCAGGCCTATGCCTTTGATTGAACATAATCAACTCCAATCAGCCTCCTGTTCCCATGTCAGTCTAATATGAGTTCAACGGAGGCGGTCCAGCAGTTGGCTGGTCCCAAGGGTCCAACATATTTAGCGGGGTATTGTGTTTAACCAGTCCAGTCGCTGCTCTGCTTTTGACGGATCAACAAAATGATTGCTGCAATGAAGACTCGTGACCAGGCTTGACTAAGTGAGCAGCATTCTCTTGTCATTCACAGTAAATGCGGAGTGTAGCATTTATCTGCTTGCTCTTTTAGAATAGAATAGAATAGAATAGAATAGAATAGAATAGAATAGGCTTTATTTTCCTAATGCAGTGACGACCACCTCCCCAGCACCTGGCAAAGACACACTGCCTGTATGAATATGGACATTCCGTCACCATGAAAATGTTTATCACTCATATAGTACAGCAGGCGTCAAGGCATTAAGGACTCCCCAGCATAAACACACATTCAATTTTTGCAACCAGCCATGGAGAATTGCAGAGGCGCTAACTGGGGGCTGGGGGCTAGGGGCTGGATTGGGTTCCAATTTGTCTCCCTGAAGGCCCCAATTGGCCATTTATTCATGCTTTAGGGTGGAAAACAAGGACACTTTAACCTGACACATTTTAAGATGGCATTGCTCTAGGTGTTAACCTTGTGCATCTGTGCACTTGTTGGTGTGTAGCTAGTTTTGGGCGCATGCCACTCTCATGTGCAGCACAATATTGAATAATTAACGCTGATTCGAAGGGACTGATCAAAAATGTATTTAATCTTTATTTAATATCTCAGGAATGTGTTCTGTCCTGAGAATGTTCCTGAGAGGTTGAGAGTGATCTCAGCTGGAGGCTGAGGACTGAAACAGTGTATTCCTTTCAAAACGTTTGATCCATAATGGATGTGAGGTGAGTTAATCCTGTGATGGGAGAACAGCCAACACTTCTGCATCATTAGCTACCTTCCCCCATTGACACCGAAGGAAACAGTTGCAGCTGTGAGTCAACAACTTCTGAAACAAGGCAGAAAAAGTCATACCCATGGAGTGCATTACCAGGATACAAACTTGATGTAAACCATCAATAGACATTTAGACTTATTTGCCTTTCTAATGACTCATAATTTACAGGATAACCCCCATGATGGCATTTCTCATTATAAGACTGCTGCAATTCAGAGAGCCTGTTAAAATGTATTACGTTTGAAAACAACATTTCTCATTCATACTAACTTTACACAACAAAACAGCATTCCTCCTTAGGAAATTATAAGCACTAAATACAAGCAGACAAGCAAACTCAAAAAGTCTTTTTGCATTTGTATTTTGTGACAAAGAAACCTACACCACTGACTTGTCTGGTACTGCAGCTATTTGTATTTATTTGACAAAACCATTCTGATCATTTGCGTTAGAGATGAACGCAGCTGTATTCATAAATAGCTTCATACTGCGAACAGTTCCATTGTCAGCAAAGACATGGGTAATGAACAAATTCATTTTCAGGAGGAAAACATGCTGAAGAGATGCAGAAACTCCCTAGGAGACTTTTTGTGTTTTATAATGGCCACCCTTCCGAGGCCAAGCATCTACCCACATCTACACATGCTGCCACATAATGTCTGCTTAGCACATGTCAGTTTTTCAGACTGGTGATGGATACCAAAATGAACTTGAGCAGAGGTCTACATTGAAGGTGGGTCTTTGTGAGTGGTTGTCTCAGCCTGCGTGGTGCTGTGGGCCACGGCAATGACTCTATGGCACGGATTCCACGGCAGCTGCCACTTCCATCAGACGCGGAGATAAAGTTTGCGCTGGCCCGGAGTGAAGTTTATCTAGCCGCACATTTCCCGGAGAAAAAAAAGGCCCGTCAGAAAGTCCCATCCCCTCCGTGCACGGAGACGTGCCGACACCCTTGAGTCACAGGCTGTTAATGGGATTAACTTTCCCAGCAGAGGGCCCTTCTGATTACCAGATTTCCCAGCTCAGTGTTTTTGTCATGCTTCTGAGCTACATAATTAAAATTTCAAAATAGCTTTATGTTTTTTTTTTTTTTTTTTGCACTGTTTTATCTGAATTTCAATTTTCATAATCCTCTCGCATAATACCGTTCTGAGCATCCTAGGGATTTGCAGATGTTGTTATGGGTTATTCCTCCTATTATGGGCACTGATGATCCATTTTGTGATAATAGGACTAATCTCGGTGCATTGTTTTCCTGTATTCTCCAGCGATACAGATGTGAGGAATGTTGAGGTACTGTTTTCCCTAGGTAAGGTGGAGCTTAACTGAATATTAATTTATTGACCTTTTTTAAATAAATAATAATACATAAAATATGCTGTTGTTTTTGATGGGTTTTTTCAGTATGTTGATTACAACACTATTTACTTTAG